AATAACTTCGTTAAATAGCTACTATAATGATAATTAAGGTAAAATGTTTGATAAAAAACCCTTGGTAAGTGGTTACCAAATTGTTGTTATCGTTTGTAATGAAATATATTATGACGATGGGCGAATCTCTTTTTTCTGCGTTTGAGCAAAAACTACGTTTGGGTGAAAACAAGGTCGACGTTTAACCACGCGCGGTCGACCGTAAACTAGAATATTATGTCATTGTGTGTACCTGGTCCGATAGCCGATTTATTCACAGAGCACGTACCCATAATACCGGTCGAACGATGGCGTCACGCGGTCGATATTGGCCTGAGATGAAAATTCGACTAATCCGTTTGATCGCCAAATGATATTGTATACAACGGAAATGAAGAAAAAAAGACATAACGACTGCACCACCATTGATTTTTGAGGAAATACAACTACGTTTTTTCTTCCTATTCTCCCCCCACCCTCTTCCTCCCAGAAACTGCCCATTTTCCAAGTCGCGTGTTATGCATTTTGTTTTCTAGGTTTTTTTTAAATGTCGACCCTGAGACCGCTGGTTTTGTGCAGCGGTTTTATTCATTAATTTTTTCCCCGCAGCTCTCCGACCTATTCCGAGTCTAGATGAGCAATTAAAAATCTATCTCGGCGCAGCAAACGACTCGTCGTCTTGGTTTTAATTATTTTTGAACTCAACCTTCGGCTTAATGTTTTAATAATAATCTTATCCTCGCGAATATTTATGGTCAACGTAGCCTATTTTATTTTTTATTTTTTTTTGTTCATCCGTAACCCTCTCCACGGTCGGTGGTGTTTAATTTCTTTTTTTCCTGCGGCACGGCGGCGATGGCAATACGCTAGCAAAAAGTTTACGAAACAGTTTTAGGTGGTAGCGGAGTTATCGCGCAAATTACAAACAAATTAAATTTTTTTTTTTTGAGTTTTTTAATCTCTGGTGGATGCGAATACTGTTATAACGATAGTAATAATAATAATAATAACAACAATACGTCATAACTTCAAAAATAAACTTATTTACACAATAATAATAATAATATCTATAAATTATACTTCTATTTAACGTTCATAAATTATGTCATTTGATTTAGCCAATTATTTTATGAACTTTAAATTATATGTATATTAGACGAATTTGAAATATTTTAACAGTTCAGAAAATATATGGAAAATAATGCATAGTGTTTTTATGATTTATATTATATCGCGTACCTCCCTACTTATAATATTTTGAACTTTTACTGGCCGATATAATAAATATTATGATTAAAAAGTTGTTTCTAAAATATGGTTGACTCAAAACATTAAGAAACACAGCTATTGACTCATATTTTACATTTAATATAAGTATATTTTTAGTGTCCGAGTGTCATGAATTGATAAAGAAAATAATTATGAGAGCTATTTTACACTAATTTTATTTTTGGTAGAAAAAATGTTTATAAAAAGGTAAAATATAGTAGGTACATACCTAAAACATAAGTTTGATATACTACGAAACTAAATGACTTATTTTTAATGATTTCGAGATAACGAGTTTTGAACATCATTATCAAAACTCGTTTGCAGAAATAAAAATAAACGCTCAATGAAACGATTTAAAAACATTTTTAATTTAAATATATTATTGAAGTAGGTACTCTCCATTCCTATTTATTACAAAAATAAAATAAATAATGATGTTAATAGATATACTTATATAATACTTTAGTTACATGAATATTAAATTTGTTAACATTAATTGATAATAGTAGTATATAAAAAATACAAATGAATTTTGTTCATTCAACCGTAATTGTGTTTTATGTTGAAAGAATTCAAATATATTTTATGAGGATACCAGTCCATTAAACGCAACCTAAACAGTGAACCATACAATGTCGAACTTGGATACATAATCATGACAATATTAAATTATTTTATATTTTGTAATATTTTAGTAAAAATTATATGGTTCACTATAATATTTAAAATAATAGTTTGTTATAGTTAATGCGTGACTGATTTTTTTCTAACCGAAGGAGAATTATTTTTTAATTTTCACACAACCTTAGTGCATTCTGAGAACTGTTTTGATATGCATGAAGGACGAAGGTGTATAATAGTTAAAATCAATCCAAAACTTGAAACAATAATACTATTGTATACCTATGTATAACTTTATACTGTGAACACTTATCAGTCAATCCTATAAATACTACCCTATCCCTATACTATCCTATTCATACTACTTTTTTCATTTTCCACTCAAGGCAATTTAGTTTTTCACAATCTATTTGTGTCCAATACATTAAATCAATATCGTATTAAAATATTTCCACAGTGATTAAAAAAAGTAAAAAAAATATAGTAAAAACACAGCCAAACTTATTATGAGCCGCAGATCAAGAAATCTAAGATGTAGGAGGCTACATTTTTTTCAGAAGAATTAAAATAATTGTTTTAGTACATAGGTAATAAATTCTATATAATATTATAGATAACATTTGATAACTATATGATAAATTGTAATAACATAATTACAAATGTAAGAACTTAATGAATTTGAACTGTTTATTATACAAACTCATACAAAACAATAATTTTATAACACTTGTACTCCCTCTGTAACCACACCTGATTATAATTACTAATCAAAAAAGAAACGACTAAATGTTTTAACTATATAAATTAAATTTGTTATATAATTATATTGAACACCTAACCTTTATTAAAAGTATTAAATACACAATCTACTGATGTGAGATAGAAATGTTGTACGTCACAAGTATCATATGTCAAATTACTTTGTATTGGCTAATTGCCGATTTTTAACACTACTATGGGCGGACCTTGTTTGTAATTTGTAAATTACCAAATATCAATTAAGTATAAAAACAAATAATTATTATTATAATATTAGAATATATATTATTGTATTGATATGTATTTTGTGTAACAGAAACAGTAGTGAATATAAGTTTATCATTTTTATCGTCAGTTGAAATATTTTTTTCAATAATATGACAATTACTCAAAATGATAAAAATTGGTTTAAATATTTAAAATGTTTCCATTATTTTGACTCATAAATATAAATGCATATAATAATATTAAGAATTTTCCGTTTTAATACTGGTCAGGGTCAGGACTTCAGGAGTACAACTTTGTTCCCTGCTCTTCTCGGAGTACAATAATTACGGTGAATAATACAGTTAGACACCTTTTATACTGTTCATAGTTCATTTGGCTTTATAATTGTTGAGCGAAAAAATCTTAAATTAAGTGCCATTTGTTTGAATTTCAATGAAAATATTACAACGAGAAGTTTAGAAGGTATGAAAAAACAACTGAAAAATATAAAAGTATGTATAATATATTTATGTATTGTATGGAATTATTATATATTATATAATATGTGTAAGACTTTAATTACAGGTGTTACAAGTACTAAAATATATAGTCTGTTGAACTTTCAGGCCATACAACCATTATGTTGTTTGCAAGTGAGTCAACGAGTCAAAATACAGATGAAAAACAAAAAATGTAAATCTTGTTTGTTTCTTCAGTTTTACGGATTTCCTTTCTAATGGAAAGGTTAGGTTGACATATCCAAAGTACAATCTACATCCAATTTCCGATCGATTTCATGTGCTACATGGACTACATTTACTATCCTAAAAAGTGTTTACCGAATGAAAACACATTATCGTAAAGTCAATAGCTTATCCTCTCTAAGCTAAGTTGAAAATCGAAAAATAAAATAATTTTAGAAAATGTACCGTTGCTATTGCCGTACCAACAGAGAAGAGAATAATTGTAATATCGACTGAAATAACGTTATACGTATTGTCTATAGTGATATCTCCATAAAAGTCATTAAGAATAGGGAATTTAAGTAAAGTCTACAAACATTTCGAAAACAAATGATTAAAAAACTTAGTCAAAAAACGTTAAAAAATAATAATGAAAATAGTTCAGCGTTACATACATAGTTTCTTTGTTGTAGTGGTAGGTAACTACTAAATACGTTTGTAAATTTAAATATTTAAATTAATATGGTGAAGGAACTTAAGAACATACAAATTACTGAAAAATAAAATAAAATAATTATTACCAATTTATTTATTTTACAATAAAGACTTGCATACCTAGTATTTTTATATAACTATAATTATCAGTTTGAAGATTGAATTAGTTACTTATTTATTTTTGAATTTGGATCCAGGTGACAGCAGTAGTCCAAAATTTGGACGTGTGTTATGTTATTATCAGTATCCGTCACTTTAATTACAAAACAGTGCTCGGCATTTTTGTATACACTCTTATTATTATGATTTTATTTTAGTTTTTAGTTTTTATATAAACAAAAGAGTTTTAAAAATGTATAGAAAGAAAAGTTTTGTTATTCATGTTTATTTTAGTCACACAGAATGTAAACCTTAAAAGTCCATAATTTTAATATTACAAAACCAAAGTCCAACCACGCGTAAGCATAATATGTATTCTGGTAACAAAAAAAAAACCTAAAAAAAAACATTACTCTGATAAAATAAAACATTCTAAAAATATCAACGAATTTGTTCAATAGTTTTTCAAGATGAATCGTTTTTTTTTTTTTTTTAGTCTGAATTTCAATTATTTATGTTTATTGTTGATGAGTACAACTGGAATTTAACCATGGTATAGAAACGATCAGCCTGCTATCGCCTCACAAATTAATGTTTTTTTTTACTGTAAATGTGAGTACCTAGTATTTGAATAAATGCTTCAAAAAGGATCGCAACTTATATCTAACGTTTTCCTGACAGACGAAATTAATCTCAGCTATTTACCAATGATCAGCAGGAATTGGAATAACCGTCGCACAACAATTTTTCTATGAATTTCACTCAAACCGTCATTGCAATGTTATTATAACCTACGTATATCATAAAACATCCGAATCATTACCAATATCGCGATGATCGATGATAATATAATATTATTCTCCGTTCAGAACAAACAAAAACCGGATGGGCGTTGTGCGGGACCGAGAACCACCTGCCTACTTCTACGCAAGCAAATCGTATGGGAATATACCTTTTCTCGATTCTGTAGGTCCTGAGCTTTTGGCAAAGAGGCTTTGGTCGGACGGTAATCGGATAATTACACAGCACTTGGAACGTAGTCGAGTATTGTATAATATGTTTGGAAGTCCGATGGCCTGCTCCGAGTCGGCAACACTACAACGGTCTGAACTAATTCGATGTTCATCGATCTCATCGAAGCCTCGTTTATCATACTTATGTATTTTTATGCTGTTCCACGGCCGGCAGAAAATATGGCGCAATATTCATCAAACGACAGCCGCGGCGGTAAGTACCCTGCTGCTGCTTCTGTGCGCACCGTAAAGGATTTGCCCCCGCACGTTTGGATTAAAAAAAAAAATATATATATATTTTCTTTTTTTCTGTTTACCGTTGCAAAAACATGCCCACAGGGCGCTCCTTGTGTTGGTTTATTTTTTTATTTTTTTTAATCCCTCCAGAAAACCCGGATGAGTAATTTCGAGACGAGCGGAGAAATAAGCGAGGGGGAAAAACACACGCACATATTATACACACGAAACCGTACGATATTATACCTCCCCGGGGCCTGATTAATAAACCGTTACGGCGGCGTGTCCGAAAGAAAACGATTTTTCGGCGAACATAGAGCCCAGCAAAAAGTCGAAATTCCGAGTCGAGTCGCAGCAACCACCTCAATAATATTTCGTTATTATTTGTCGATTATGACGGTAAACAGATTGTCGAGAAATTGTTTTTAATCACACGCCATCTATCGCGTGGTCAACTACGCTCGAGTAGTCAAAATTCGGATTTTCGTGGTTTCTGATCATAGACACCATCCGTCGAAGAGATGGTCACTATTTGGGTTTGAGGATATTTCGTATTCAGCTGCTATAGTCAACGATTTATGATATTTATAATATGCAATTACGGTCTAGTGCGAGGTACGACAGAGATACACGTATCGGTGTATCACCATTTTTCGTTCTATCCTTCGTGCCTGTACTATAAATCTTTACCATAATAATATCTATCGTTTATGACTGCAATGCGCAAATCGATAATCGTCGTCGTATTTACCTACAGTTTTTATGTTTACTTTTATTAAAAATTAAAAAAAAAACCATTCGTACAATAATAAATGACGTAGTATAATAAGTACCAAATAATTATGATGATAAATAATAATATTAAAATAGGTGTGAGCGGATGAAGAGAAAGTTAATTATACACTTATACCTAATTTTATAGTTTATTATAATTTAGTATATTAAATCTCTATCGCATTTTTGCCGGCAAGAGAGGTTATCAAGAATAAAAAGGGAGACCATATTTTTTAGGTTGAGTGTTGGAGATTAATATTTGGAATGAAAACGTTTGTAATGAAGTTTGGTAAGCTCATTAAGAGTCATAATTTGTAGACCTCTGTGTAATGTTATACCACTGGGCACCAGTTACAACAAGGAGCGATATAGTTTTAAACGGTTGGATTGGGTGGATGTTAGATGCATTGGCAGGACCCCAAATGTGTGTACCATATATTACCAAACTGGTCTGATCACTGCCTTGTACAGGAACCGTTTGGTTCAGAGATTTAATTTTGAGTTTAGAAGAGGGTGAAAATTATGAAGTCTGAATCTTGATACATTCCTATTGGTTTGAAGTTGAAGTTTCCAGGTTAACGGTTTTTCCAGTATTATTTCAATATATTTCGTTTTATTTTTTTGCTGATATTATTTTACAATTCTAAGCCATGCGATATATTAATACTGCCGACTAAAATACATAATAGTTTTGAAAAGCATTTTCACTTTATTATCTTCACTAGTGTGATCTAAACCAAAAGGACTTAAGCCACCTCTCACTATCAAATATATTGTACATTGATATCGGTTTGGAGTTTTCAATAACATATAGTAATATATTCGTTAGTTAAAAACCAAAAATAATGGAAGCATTGAATCCTTGGACTACTTTTATATCACACTTCCATATTTAAAATCTGACACGTATCATTTAGGTATATTTATATTATATAATTATTATAAGTTAACTAATGAATACATTGTTAGTATTTATTTCTGAAACGTATTAATGGGAAATTTTAAATGTAAACTTCTGTAACGCAGTTCACCACAGCTAATTTGTTTTTATACAACGTGTAAATGCTATCTTAGGTGGATAGTAATTTCAAAGTTATTAAACTTTACCTATAATGTTTTTCGTTTTTAATGAATAATCATAGGTTTATTTATTATAATATTAATTTAAATAAAAAGCAGTTAGAACGCAAATAAAATATTCTGTTCTACTGGTCCCATGAAAGCAACTAGAGAGCTGTTGCAAGCGAATAATCTTGTAAAATATATAACTATCTCGAACATATTATCGCATTATATTTATAAACAGAGCAATACGTTTACACACTTTTTACGGTTTTCATATTTTAATAATTTGAGTATCTTCACAGGTACGACATAAAAAAAAAAAAACTTATCTATCAGCATATAATTACCGTAACAGTTTCAACTAAATATGACTAACTACAACTGAAAAATGTGTTAACGCACACAGCAATGGCAGAGCATCGATGACTATGACGTTGATGATGATGATGATGATGGTGATGATGGGTATAATATAATTGTCTTTATTGTCCACAATTCGGTCGACGGAAATGATTGGTAAAACAATGAAGGGAATTTAACAATAATTATTATTATTCAAAAGTCTGGCCGTCGGCAATCAAACGGCTACAACGAATCACTAAATAATATTATTATCGTTTTGCCCAGCGTCCATTGTTTTAATTGTTGTGTAAATCTTCAGTGATTGTCAAAATCCGTGTTTTTGTACATGCCGAAAATCGACTGCAATGACTGGTCACAAAAACAGTTTTATCCGATTACGACGCATTCGTGTATGTATGTTTTTGGTGTTCTTCGATTTTCAATCGTCCGTTTGACCACACCAGTAGAAATGAAAATTTAATTGATAAATATACCTCTGTTTTGCGGTCATTTTGTTTTGGTGGGAGTATGTTCGATTGTTTTTTACAAACACATTTTAGAGATATTATACTATAGTATTTTGCTAAATTAAACCAGTATTCAAACGTATAGTTTAGTAACATTTTTTTTTTTTAATTCCGTGCGAACGTCTATTTTATTTGCCAAAGTTCAACATAAATCTGTAAAATTATAAAAATAGAATGTCAAGTCAAAGAGGGACAAATTCATATTTCAATTTTTTTTCAGCTATAAATTGGTTCTGCCCAGAGAATTACTGGTCAATATTATATCTCCAAAAAATATCTCCCGTCAAATTAACTCAGTAAAATTATCTATTGAAATAATATAAGATAAGATGAGATATTATCTATTCTACATCAAAAATACCTTTATGCGAATATTTCTCCAAGATTTGGACAAATGATTAAGTAGTTCCATTTTCCGTTTCCGTTCTTTATTATTGATTGGTTGGTAGAATTTGGTGAACATAAAATAATATAATGTTTGACTCAAGTATAAGTAAATATGCAGTTGCTTTAAATCTGTTATATTTATTATTGTTATTCTAAAATATTTAGGTATTTATAAATAAATAATATAATTACTTTAATATTAGGCATTTTATTTTATAATCATTTAATATAATATAGAGACTTAATTAAGTTTATAATGATAAATAAATAATATTATTCTGAATATGAATCAAAGTATTCACTAAAGTTAAAAACCATTAACTTAACCATACTTCTTTACTTTTAAATTTGTTCTAGTAGTTTTATGGGTATATTTGACTAAAACATTTTACAAAGCCAAAATACAAATTAACAAAATATAAAATGCTGTAAATATAAATGGAACGTACCGTCGAAAAACATATTATTACCTTTTTTGTTTTATGGGGCTCTTGGGAAAATGTTAAGGGTGTTCATTATTATTTGCGATTTAAAACGACTTGTCCCAAACATTTTTCTCTCCTATTTAATCTCCCTAACATATCTTATCGTTTAATCTCTGGTATTCCTTTATTTTGAAATTTAATTTCAGAGTTCACACAGGTATTACCATCCTTGTCACGTAAATACATACAAGTATTTTAAATTATAATCCTTCTAACTCACACAGCGAATCTCCAAAAACCGTATTTCGTTTGATATATTTTATTCTTTATTAATAATAAAAACAATTTACATTTATTTGTGGAATTGTGTTTCGAAAAAAATTAGAAATTCACTCATCTTTTAATATAATATAATGTAATATGTGTAATAAAAATTCTAAGAACTTATACATCAATCATTTTAAATCATTGAAATATAATCATGTAAAAATGAGTAAGTATTTCCTACATCAAACATTCGATCAATAATTTAATGGTATCATTGATAAGTTAATATTAATACATTGTTTTGTTTATTTATAGTTAGAGAAATTTATTACATTAATTATAATTCCACTTGAAATAAGTTTATTTTAATCATCTCATATTAGGCTTACATTAGTTACTAATTTCTTAAGATATTATTATTATTGTAATTATTTTCACTACAACTTTATTGGTTTCTTCAAAAGTGTGATTTCCAATTACTCGACATTTTGTTAAATTTTGCTTAGATTTTATTTTCCTAATTCATTATAATAATTATTTTCTTTTGTATAACAATAGCAATAAATAATAAAACTTGACACCAGTTGATATAATTATTTTTTATAAAATTAATCTTTCAAAGAAAGCAACGAATACAAACTCTTCATTGATGTCACTAATAATAAGTAATTGATGCGTACTGCTTACTCAAGTAAAAGTCACAACAATATAGAATAACCTTTAATATAAACTACTGGCCATTACTGCAGAATAGCTAACGATAAAAATGTATTTTAATGTATACTTTGGACTTGGCAATTTTTTTCTCCAATTGACCGTGTAATAATTAAAAATGATATACAAATTGTATTTCAACTCGCGTACTTTTGTTTCGTCGTCAATGTAAAAACCCTTTAATGGAGATTGCCAAGAAACAGTACCGATAATTTTAATACCGTATATGGTATAATAGTGACTGTGTCGAATATTATGATGTCACAAATGATTACAACCACAGGTACTTGTAATATGTCACTACCCACGCACGTAATATTATAATATTATTATTACATAAAATATACATCGACGAACCAATTCGCAAAACGAAAGAGATTTATTAAAATTAATGGAGAAGGCTAACGCTAACCCGTAACGTAATCAGTGTGTAATTTTTTGAGTCAAATTTTAAAATATATGATACCTCGGCGCAGACCACCGAGCTGCAAATGCTGATTAATGGTCGCGGC